TGCCTCTCATAGAGTATTCTTATCTTGGGTAGACTGCAGTTTTGACCTCGTCTTTGTCCCGTCATAGCCAGGCCTTTCTACCATCACAATTGCATCGTTTAGCTCTATAGTCAAATGGTCCACCTATTAGCTATAGGACTTCTACGCCACTTATTTGTTTACTAACGGCCAGTCAAAATTTTTAATATTTTTGTAGGAGTAGAAGAAATACTTCGATCTAATTGTGTCCCGGACATTCTGACGATTTTTATTCTTTTGGGCCTGCTTAAATAATCAGGCCTTCAATTACTATTAAACAGATCAATTTTAATTCATTGAAACACCAGGCGAGTGACGCCTTAAGCAATTTGGCAGTTATCCAAACCTGCTTTCGTTTAACAACATTGCTAAGAAGTACTGGTAGAGTAGTTATTACTTGCTGGTATAACAGGCTTTTCTTAGTTAGCCTCCTTTTTTATTCTTTATCCCCAATAGCTTCACTTATTTCCCCTCTTGCTTTTACCCGTCTGAATGATTTCCCCAGCATCCGTTTCCATAAAATGGCATCCAGTGCACGTCCATTCGCTGGTCCGATCATTCTTTGCCTTTGGCTTCTATTCGATCGCATCTGGTGCCAGGTTCCTGGCCTCGGGATCCCTTTCCCATCAAAGACTTCAATTCAGCCCTACGAATTACTCAATAAGCCCAGTTCAATCAGTAGCGCTACTCTGGATACGAAAATATCTAATGATTCGTCGGATTCGAAACATACATTTGATCAGTTTAGCGACTCCGTGAAGAAGAATGAGAGAAGTATCCGAAGGACGAGCCCTGTCGATGTGCTACACAGCCTGGACGGAATTCAAGATGCTAGTTAGTGCACTTCTTTATCTTGTAGCCCATTTCTGCTAAACCAGGCCATGCAGGTTTGAAATTAGGCTGTTAAGGAAGTTTTTACTATATCGGGTAGAGATCATTTCTATGTTCAACGGTAAAATAAGAAACGGCAAAACTATTTCTACA